TGTGCTAAACTAGATGCCAGTTAAAAAGCTAACTACAAAATATGCTTGATCCAGATGGATCAACTCCTAAGATTACACACATCATGCTACTTGGAAAACTAGGATTTGCGCATATATTTGTTTTTAATGACCAGCTGGAGAGTTTGAATTATGTGGATTTTGGTGGCAGTTTTTGTAATAGCTCCAACCCGTCACCAATAGGTCCTATAAAACTTCTGCCAGCAATTTTTGTTGTGTCTCTTCTCAAAGAAGTACATTTGGGGAGTGGGGAGGGGGCACCCTGAATCACTTTCCAGTCCTCCAGCATGGTAGTGCTTCAAAATGGTAGGTCCTTTCACTTTGTATTCTTTTATCTGCTTTGAGAAAAGCATTAAAAAATAGACAAGCTCAGTTACCACACAAAGCAGAGTGAATGAGGTTTCTTGAGAGCTAATTAGTTTGCCAAATCTAGTAGGAGATTCTAATGAATACAGAGTACAGCTCTGATAGTTTGAGGTCTCATGGACGCAGAGGCTAATAGTGTAAAACTGCTGTGCAGGGTTGTGTTGCAGTGCAACTGTCCGTTCTTGCCAGCAGTTTCATTAGTAAGCTTTTCGGGGAATGCCTTTACTCAATAATGGCTCTTGACAGTCTTTTGTGCCCCATTTTAAGCAGGAAAGTTTATCAGAAGGTCACAAAAATGAATGGCCTTCAAAAGAGCCTTGCTGAATGTGTACACTAAACAAGGAGCTTTGGGAGCAGTAGTGTAGCACCACTGTTCACTATGCTGCTCTTAAGGGTCTACCAGGGCTTCCATTATACAGTCCATTTTTTTGAGATTTAAAATTCCCATGTAAATAGTCTTTGTGGCTAAAACTTGGCAGATGATACAGCCTGAAAGCACAATGTCTGTATCTACATGGAAATAAATACATTGGCTGAAAATTTTTAATTTACTAGTTGTTGTTAAATTTCTTGCTATCTGTTGCAGTAGTGTAACTGCAAACTGCTTTTTTAAATGGGTTTTGCAGATCACTAGTGGTGTTTAATATAGAATGTAACCATAATTTTCCTCCACTGCTTGAGGTTGGACATGCTTCCATTTCTGATAAATGTATGCAATGCGGCTTAACTTTCATTCAGTGCCTTGCATACAAATCTGTCGTAAACCATTTTTCATCTGACCTCTTCATCTTCCTTGCATTTACAGGTAGAACGTGTTTTTACAGGTAATATGAGTGTCTAAACATATCTGAACAAAATATCATGTTGGTGACCAGCCAGGAACTGAAGGGGGGGGCAGTGCTTAAATGCACATGAAATATAGCTGCCAGGGTTGCAATTTGATTTAGGACAGTCCCACAGGGTTTCAAAGCACCTGGTATCCCTGCCAATATTCCAGACCAGTGTTTCTCAACCTTTTTTGTACCAGGACCCATTTTTAAACATCGATGGCTAGTCCCAACCCACTGCCCCCCAGCTCCAGGCCCCAACCCCCAAGTGTGGGGGGCAGGGGATTGGGTATGTGTGGAGCTCTGCCAGCCTTCAAGGGAGAAGCCTTGTTTTCCCACATTTTTCTCCTTAAAGGAGAATCCATTTTTAAAGTTTGTCGATCCATTTTTAAGGTTTGTTCACAACACTTACATATTTTCTTGTAACCCACGGATTGAGAAACACTGCTCCGGACCATGTTGTAGCTGCACTTTCTTTCCTTTTCTTTTCCCTCTGAGATGCTCCTTGTTTCGCTGAAGCAGTCTCACTCCCTAGGTGACTCTCATCAGCCTCAGCTTCATGACTCTGTTAGGTCACTCTTTGGCCATGTCTAGATAAGGGGGAGAGATTGTGTGAGGATTTTTTTTTTTTACGTACATATTTTGCACCTGCCAATTTAACTCATTTAAATACATTAGCTGGCTGGGACTTACCATCAGGGAGAGTCTAGGTCATGACTGCAATCAGTTAGTGAGTTTTTAAAGAAGGAAAATGGCACTTTAAACTGGTGTTTGAAAATACTTAAAACATGTTTAACTAATGTTTTAAAAACTACTTATTTTCCTAGTCCAGGAAAGCCTTTTATCTACAATTAAGTATTAAGTCATGTTTGAAAAGTGTTAATGTGTTGGCGCTCACATTTAAAAACACCTGATATTTTCCCATTTTAGATAAGCCCTCATATGTTCACAGAAAAGGGAGAGGGTAGTTTCTGAGGAAGAGAGAGGACTGCTGAGCTGCCAGAGTGGAGGCCTTCATGGGGACTATACACAGGGGGCGCTTGCGCAAGTCATCGGAAGACGCTTCTGATCATGCGGTAACTTTTGCACTCTACACAAAGTGCTTAAAATTACAGCATGATTGACCTTAACAGCTGGTCCGTATTTGATGGTGGGAGCTTGGAGCCTCCATGCACTAGCCAAGGCCAGAAGGCAAGGGTTGCTGTTGCACACCTCACAGCATGCTCCTTAGACTCCCTGGGCTGCGGAAGAGGACAGAGAGCGGGCGCTGCCCCAGTCGCTGCAGGGAAGCCACGTCCTTCTCCGTTCTCTGCCTAGGGAAGCCAGTCAGGGCACCCCCACCCCCTGCAGTGTAATTTTGTTAATGATAACATTTCCCTGTTTACTTTTGAGGGGCTATCCAGATTAATAATCTTAGAATAGAAAGGCGTATTCCTATCCTAAATTTCTCTCAGAGTAGGTTGCATTGCATGGCATAGTTAAGGCAAGGCACAGACAGGTGAAGTAGAACAGGAGTTTAAATAAAGGATCTCCATGCAGAAGTTAAACTGTAATTTTTACCAGAAGCACAAAGGGAAAAAGTTAATCAACAAACCATGTAGGTTGTCAGTATATGTTTGAATTTGCCTTTACATTTTTTAGGATGCTTTTATGTTTACAGAGCTCATCTTCTGCCGGATCCTGTAATAATGAAGTCATAATCTTGTGATAACATGTACCATTGCCATAATTGAAATGTGAAGCATTATGACTTCACTCCAGGCTATACTACAGGGTGAGGGGAATGTGGGAACAAGTCATTTCTGTCAATAGCTTTGTCATTTTGCTATGTATTGAGAATAAAGGAAAGGTTATGTGGGAAAAAGAATTCTACTTCCACTTCATTTCTAATTGGGGAAAATTCAAATTCAGGAGGTTTTTCTTTCCTTTTTCTTTTAAGGGAACTCGGCGCAAATGTTATATTTGGTTGGTTACAACAGTCTGCAAGGACTGAAGTAGCACAGCAGAGGGAGGATGCCATACAGATCTTACGATAAGAAACAGCAGCTTGAAAGAAAAATTGTAGTTTTAAGTGAGAGCAATTAAATATTTTGGTACAGGAGCAATCGTACTATAGGGTGATACCAAGAGGAGAGTCATAAACAGTAGACTGGATAAAATGTTTGTAGACAGCAATATTAGAGGTCAATCCTTTTCCTTTCAGGTAGGCCTTTATCCTAAAATAACATCCCTGAAGCTTTCTGCAGTGATGACTGCCAGTTCAGTTCCATTAGGGGGAGCACTGGTTGAAGCAGTAGGGTAAATGCAGCTCCCATACATTCCTCTTATCTCAGGTGTGCTCAGCAAGGGTTAGAACAATTACACAGATGATAGGCAGCCAGGAGACCTGTCAACAGGCTCCCTGTCCATTCATTGCTACTGATGGAACTTTACTAGTGGGAAATATTTTGCAGAAACACGCAGTGATTGGATTGGGTAACATAGCAAGTCTCTTCCAGTTTTGTGTCTTGCATGTAACCCTTCTCCATAGTATATTTTAATTGTTCAAATCTCACACATGTTAAAGGTTTGACTGTCAAACATGCAAGTAAGCTTTAGATACTCTTATTAGACTAAGACAGGATTGCCAAATATAAAGGCCATGGGCCAGATACCTGGTGGACTAGTGGTGTGGCTGGGCATTGTGGTCTGCTGTGGAATGGCAGTCAGTGGCAGGAGGACAAACAAGGGCTGACAGTTCTGGTTGCCCTCCAGAAACTTTGCCAGTCACCTCTGCCCACGGGCCTACTTCCCTAGTAGCCTGCCCCTGCCCTGTGCTGGAACTGGAGCTGCTGCAGTGGCAGAGGGCATGTAGTGGCGGCAGCTCCAGCATGGGATGTGCAGTGGGATCTGTTGACACTGCTGCATGCTCCAGTCCATAGATGCCACCACCACATGATATGGTCCAGAACCAACCAGTAAGGAGCCCCAGAATCTATAATCCAGCACAGGACAGAAGGTGACTTGGATGCATCTGGACTAAGGTTCTTGAAGCAAGGTCTGTTTTTCACTTTGTGCCATGCTAAAACATTGTCAGTGTTTAACAACAACAAAAAAATTAAGTGAAGTTTTACATGTGTAATAAATTCAAACCTTTAAGGCTACTTCTTTTTTTTTTTACTACCACTTTTTCCTTGCATAAAACCCACACCTTTTTCACCAAAACCAACTGGAGATGATTAGGGTGTGAACTATAGGTGAGAAAAATGAATCCACATGCGTCCGGGGGAGTGGTGGCAGCATTCAATTTCATAGCTCTGGGAACCAGGACAATCAAAGCTGCCACCATTGCCCTGATACAAAATTTCTGGACCTGTGGGGAACCTCTCGGCCAGATGACGTGGCCTGGCTTGTCAAATTGATCCAATGTGTGGGATTGGTTTGTGAGGTCAGACCCAGACCAAGCACAGGTGGGCTTGGACTTCACCAGATCAGTCCACAGGCCCCATCCAGCACACAGGGCTAGCGGCAGGCTCATCTCATTAGCTGCTGCTACTCTGTTTCTACAGGAATGTTTTTTTTTATTTCATCCTGACTCCAAAATAAAGTACATAGTATATATGGGGGCATGTTGTAGGCAAGAAAATATGGTCTCCAGCATGTCCAAAGAATCGGAATGGTTTTAATCCGTTTAGTGTATTCATTGCATTTTGAGCTAAATGTTTTGTTTGTCTTGGCTCTTCTCACCTCATGTTATGCTTGGAACGGTAGACTTCATACCTCACACATTTTCAATTCTGTTGTTGATAGATTTCCAAAAGAAGCAGCCAGATGACGACTCCACTCCCAGCACAAGCAACAGCCAATCAGATTTGTTCTCTGGAGAAACAAACAGTGACAACAGCAATACCTCTCTAACTACGCAGACTGTTAACTCCAACCAGCAACTTTCGACAGAACTGAATGTAACTTCACCGAGCAAAGAGGAATGTAAGTACATGAGCCCAGAGGAGAGGGGAGAGTAGAGGAGGCCTAAACACCTGCTCTTTTCTCAAGTACATTTGCCATCCACTCATAAGAAGAAGATATGACCTATCTGTTGGGGGATGGTGGGGAAAGGAGGAAGGAGAGTAGAAAATATTCAGAGCTGAAACAGGTGGTTTTAACCAAAAACTGAAAACATGAGAAGTCACAGAATTTCTTAAGCTCCATCTGTGTGTGCTAACTTACAGCTATTTGAACTTGAGTCAGGCTGCTCTTAATCGACTGTTTTGAGAAAGTTGTATTTATTTACTACATTACTGTGAGTAAATTATTGTATGCAGTAGTCTGAAAGCCAGAATCTTATAAATTCTGTCCCTGTATCATTTTAAAGGCTCTTCTTAAAATGATTACAGGCAGTACAGACTGTAATGTAAGGTTGTTCTTGACAGATAGTAAGTCTCTGTGGCAAACCTGATTTATCGGCTAAGCTTTGTGACCCAGCTCTTCCATGGTTTTCTGTGCATAGAAATTGTGACAGACTGACATCCTGCTTAAAGAGAGGGATAAGTTGAACAACCTTGGCTAATGCAAACTATGATCTAATGTCTTCCCTGTTTTCCTGAAAACCGTTCTAAACTTCTATGCACGTTGATGCTGTGTGTAATATTTTGAGTTTAAAAACTTGAATACTGAAGTTTAAGTTCAATGTGTAATTTTTAGTTTCGTTTTCTTCAGACTAAAGTCTTACTTTTCTGGAAGGTGGACTGTTGAAGGAATCTCTCTTGATCTCAGTACACTTGTAACTAATGAATGGCAGATAAACATATGCACCCTTTTAGTAGGCAAGCTGCTGGAGATGCCAAGGTTCTTAAACACTTTGAGGTAACTACTATAAATAAGAAGTCTAACAAAGTGCTGGGACAGAAGGAACTTTGATACGTTGCCACATTTAGCTTTGGTTTTGTTTAACTTACTAGCATGCTGAGGTCTTCAGGTGTTGTGAAATACCTGTTTGTACACAGGTAAGTAATTTTCTTTTACACTGTGTCAATTTTTTCCAAATGAATGTGAACAGTGGCAGTTTTTTATTTATACCAACTGTAACATGAACTTTGATTAATCAAACTCCAAGGCATTTTGAGATCAGTTGCTCTAATCGGAGTTAACTTGCAGCATAATTCTTGTCTCTCCTTCGTTCAAATAGTTGCTGATGGCTACCATCCATTACTTCCCTGTCTGCTGCTTCTCCACCGAAGAATCCATAGGGTGCTGTAAAAGCAGGTCTTAAAACACCTTTTCCAGAGAACACAGCAATACATTGGGCATTCACCGGTCTGATCTGTCAATCCCCTATTCACTCATAAGCCAAGATTCACCATTTGCTGCAGATAATGGAGTATTTCTTCCATGCAACTTGGCCATTTTTTGGGAAAACATTTCAATGAGTCTTGAGTTAAGCCATGTATAAGGAGTTTGTGGGGGGGTGAAGGGGTGAAAAAGAAGAAAAAGGGGCTACAAGGAGGCATGGAAGGGAGAATTAAATAAAATGTACTCCAATCGAGATTGCTATACACTCATGAATTTGCACTCCAAGGTGATGGATATTAAGCAGCACGGCTAGCAGAGCATTTGAAAATATAACCTATAAAAATATTCTTTACGACTTCCTGCTGGAATGGCTTTAAGTGAAATACAGTTGTGAGATTTATTTACAGTTCTAGCTATCTCTCTCTTCCCTCCCACCCCCACCTCTCTAATGAAGCTTAGTGTCATTTATCAGAGATAATTATACAACAGATGGAGCTTTTCTGATGGATAATGGTCTCAAAGTAGAAGGTTCTTTTCCATAATGAAGAATGCCCAAACTTTAAATGTCTTTTTTTTTAATTTTAATTTAAAAGTGGCTTTTCTGTACATTATTTATTTATTTTTGTAGCTAGTTCTATAAAGCATACGCTGCTCTCATTACAGCAACGTTCTTAGAAGATTGATATTTCACAGTACAATATGATGATATACAGCTTCACACTATACTGAATAGAATTGCAGTAATTCACCAAGAATCAATGTATGGGATCATTAAGTTAATCCCTATCACAGTGGAAAGATTGGAGTACTCAGAAGTGTTCTTTTACAGGAACTTCTCGAGCTGCGTTCTCTCTGTCTCTCTCTCTCTCTCCTTTTTCATGCTTTCTAAATGAATCCTACATCAAGGCATTTGCCATGGTAGTTGAGTCCACAGGATAAACAGATTGAACAAAATTGCAGCAAGCCATTTAGGTAATTAACAAAATCATTTCATCATGTTATGACAACTAAAGATAACCATAAAATTCTGCTGTGGCAAGATTCATACTCCGTGAAGCAAAAGTGCGCTTGTGCTCTTGCTCACACTCATGCTCTCCCCACTTCCCCCTCCCTCTCTTTCAGGTTACCATTTCTCTTTAAATATAAAATATTGGAGGGTAGTACCTAAGATTGGATTTTGCAGGATATCAGTTTGGCAATTTTTAAAGATTGTCTTGCAAGGTGTAGTGGTTTTTATAACTGATAACTTTTCCTCTGAACAGCACATTTACTTTTCAGGTCATCTTGTATGTTAGGGTCAAATTAGTATAGGTTTCCATCTTCTTCCACATTCAGTACTTGGGACTAAGGGTACTAATTGTCTGGAGTTTGGCCACTTGGCTGATCAGTACTTGTTGTTTTGCATGTGCAAGGTAGTGTCAGTGTTACAAATAGCATGCAGCAATCTAAACCGCATAAGGGAGATTTGTTTGGTAATCAGCCAATTGCCAACATACAGGGTGAGCAGTTGATCAATTTAGCCTTTCTCAGCCTCTCAGTGCTGTACTGTTAGCAGCTGTGAAACTGACTGGGTCCTTTCAATTGGTTGTTTCAGAGGCAAAGGGATCTGAGTAATAATAGTTTAAGAGTGATGTTGTAGCTGTGATGGTCCCAAAATTATAGATTTCATAGACATTAGGGCTGGAAGGGACCTTGGAAGATCATCGAGTCCAGCCCCCCGCCCAAAGGGCAGGAAGTCAGCTGGGGTCATAGGATCCCAGCAAGATAAGCATTATGCACGAGGCAAGGATTTCTTAGGGTGCTATCGTTTATTGGATTAACTGTATACCTGGGATAAAGTTAGACAAGCCTTCAAATGCAAGACTTTCTTCATCAGGCAACTACATAGTTGGTTCAGTAAAAGATACTGCCACAAAAAAGCCTTGCCTCTGAGTAACAATTAAAGAAGCCTGAACTGAGATACAAACTATTGAGCAGAAGACTGATAGGCTCCGAGGCACAGTGTAATAAAGCATTATTAAAGTGAGAAAAGCTGTTCACAATTTGTTTTTGTATGAATTATAGTAGGGTTTTAGTGCTGTTGTAACTGTGATGGTCCAGGAAATATGGGAAGTAAGGTTGGGTTTTTTTGTGTGACAGATTTTATTGGCCCAACTGTACAGTTGGGAGAAAGGTTAACAGACTTTTGTGTACAAAATGCCCTTCTTTAGGTCCAGGAAAGAACCCTTCTTGCATTGGCTTGGCTGGCTTTTGTCAGGTATTTTGGTTGAAGTTTTGAAGTCTCTTGTTTCTTCACCAGCCCTGAAGAAGGGCAGCTTGTCTAACATCTCGCCCAACTATATCTGTGGGCCAGTAAAAGATATGGCCCAAAAGATTTGCTGCTTCTAAAGGATTTGGCAAATGACTAGTGCCACTGAATGATTTTAAATGGCTGCCTCCCTCTCCTACAGACATCTGAAGTGGTTCATGTGGATGTATATCCAGAGTAGATTTGTGACTAATTTATGACTAGGATCCTTGAAGTACTGGCGCTTCAGTCTGGACTATACACAGGTGCCCCACACCCTCAGTTTAACTATATGGGTTTTAAAAATTAGTAAATTTACTGAAATAAAGCTACTTCAGTAAATATTACAGTGCTATAATTGTGCCCACATTAGGATTGCACAAAATTTATATCTATTTCTAAGTACATATAACTAGTAAACCATCTCTTTCCTCCTTGCTGGTCCCTTTTTGTGTGGTTGTTCATTTGTTTCTGTTTGGGTTTTTTTGTTCAGGATGTGCAAACACCAGTTTCTTTGCCAACACTAACCTAGGATTAGATGGTTGCTCCAATAATGTTTTGCTGGGTTTATTAGCTGGTGGGTATCTGTTAAATTGATTTGCAAGTGGAAGAGGGAGCCCCCTCCAAGCTTCTTCAAAAACCTACTTATTTAATAAGGTCCTCTCTCTCTCGGTAAAGAAAAGGTCACAGCACAGAATAATTTTAGTCTCGTGTCAGCCCTTCATTTCTTTCTATGGGCTGTCACATTTTTCTTTCTCTACACAGGTGGACTTAAAGCTGACACTGTGCAGCTTTAAAGCTAACTCTGCATTGTAATGTGACAGGAAAAATGTCAGTGTGAAAAATTCCATCTCTGGCAGCTGGATCAGATTTGATATTTCAGTAGTTCTTGGTTTTAGATTACATAGTTTTGTTGTAATTATGTGCTTAACTTCTTGCTGGCCTCCTTGAATTTGCAAATGCTGTAATAGGGAGAATAATTGCTCGTGTTCCTAGATCAGTCATAAGCACACATCTCCAGTGCTGAAGACTGTTTAATTAGGAAGTCTGCAAAAACGCTCTTCATACATGTGCAAGATTCCATGGTATTGTACATACAGGCATTGTGTCAAAGGATGGGCCAGAAGAGTCATTGGTTAGGGAGCTACCGAAATTGCGATTTTACAAAAATCACAAAATCTAGCATTGCCTGCAAAAGTGGGCAATGTCCACAAAATCCACAGGAAAAAAAGTAGAAAACCTACTAAAAATAAAATGCTGGCTCCCCAGAGGGAACCAGCAGACTTCATGGCTCTGTGGCCTAGCTGCTCAGCCCACTAACGGAAAGAGGGAGGAGACAGCTCACACAAAGAGGAAGCCAAGGTGCTGAGAGCTTCCTCTTATGTTGCTCCGCTCCTTTCCACCCACTAGC